CAGAGCCTACCGTAGGACCAGTGCCCCTTACTACTGTCAGAGGGCCAGCAGGTCAGAGAAAGCAAGGAATTCTATCTCACGCAATAGCCCTTAAAAAGACGATTCCATCCCGTGAAGCAGGCCACCCAGTCCTCCAATACCCCCGAATTTGATCGAGAAGTGAGTTAAAGCCTTATCAAATATCTCATCCTTAAAATCCTGCAATTTCAATTCAATCTTGAGCTTCCGCAGGAAAGATGCTTCAGCTAAAGGTGTACTAGTGAAGCGTTTTGCCCGGTGCACGAACGAGCCCACCACCGCGATCTTCTGCTGCTTACTCACAAACGAACAGTTATCTTGAATACTCTGGAAGACAATACCCTTCGTCATCATCTCCCTTTGATTTTTATGGTAGGCCGCGCACCTAATCCCCATAGGCCATTCCAGATTCTGAATAGTACACCCCAAAAAATCCCATTGATTTGCTCTGCTAGTGCATTCAAGCTTGAGATTAGAGTCATAACAATTCTCAAACTTCCTCAAAACATCACTGGCTACGCGTTGGCTTGCGGAGTGATTTCTCGAGCCACACCGAGGTGGTGGATGAAGTGCAGGACAGGGAGCAGGACATGGAGCTGTCGGTCTGCCGTTGGTTAGTCGCCGATCCATCCTGTCGCTGTTCTTGGATGATCCCCTTCTGCGAGCCGCGACAAAACACACATGAAGAAGACAACGATGAGAAGCAACACGACGAGGAGGAGTAGCAGAGGCAGCCTGTGCGGCCGGTCGGCCATATAAGGGCCGTGGAAAGAGCAGCAGTTCCACGACCGTGGTCGACCGTCCAGCAAAGAACTCCGTCCACAGAAGAAAAAGCGAGGGAAGATTTGTGCTCCGACGTGCAAGGCGTGACGACAACCGACGAAAACGACAATCTTCCAAAGTCGTCGTCGAACGCAGCACTGGTGCGGACAAGCATTCAAATTTCCAATCGTTGTCGACGATCGCCCAGCGCAGTAGACTGCATGACACTGGCCGGCGACGCCCGATTCGACGGACGGACGGTGACCGTTTGGAGCCGTTGGGGTGCTGCCCAGACGGTGGAGGGCAGGGATGTTCGTGCTCCCATTCGGTGGACCACGTCTGGACCACCCTCAAACTGAAACAGTTACTGTGCGTCGACGCATGCCTTCGCCGCTCCGAATTTCGCCCTTCCTTGTGCTCCGAGGGACCTCGGGAGGTCCCTTGGGGATTCGGAAAAATTGGCTGTGGCCACAAGGACGCCACAAGGAAACTTCCTTGTGCTGTTTCCATTTTTTTTTTCGCGAATCGTCCCCAAGGACAGGTGGAACGAGCACTTCCTTGTGGATTTCGGGTCCACAAGGAG